GCAGAGTAAGGAACAAAAAAAAATTGTGATTAAAAAGCATGGTGTTGATGAATGTAATTAAAACATTCAAGTTGTTTCCTAAAAGGCTGCCTAGTACACATAGGTATGCCTTGTCAAATCATATTCTTCTCATGATACTGAAGAAAGAATTAAAATATTTCTGGTAAGATTTTGAAAATAATCCTGCTGGTCAGGTATTTTTCAGTTATGACTATATGTGAGCATGAATTACTGAATTATGTTTATGGAATAATAAGTAAAATGTGAAAAAATGCCAAAGCAACATCAAAATATTATGTTCAATTGTACTCTGATGCCATGAGAGGATTGTAAGAGAAGGAAAATGTAAGGACCATAGTAGTGAAGGAACATAGTCTGCATGGAAGTGAGATAAACATAATGTGTCATCAAGCTAAATGGGGATTAACCGACTGTATTGGAAGCTTTTCCTGCAAAACTGTCATTGTACATCATTTTAACCAGGCTATTGAAGAAGATGGTCTACAAAAAAATAGTGAGGATGTGGGAACATATATGCTACTGGAGTTGGCTAAACTACGGGATAAATATGAGATTGTTGGAGATGTCCGTGGCAAGGGACTTATGATTGGAGTAGAAATGGTGACAGATAAGGTTAGTGATTTACTTCATTACTTTCAGTTTACAGTGCCATTGAAAGTTTTGTCACGTTTTATTTCAGTTGAAATAATAGGAAGATTTTCTATTAAAAAATGGCTAGTGAAGTGAGAAAGCATTGCTCTGGCTAAAAATGAGCCAGAACATTCCAGCATTTCAGATATTTCACAAGCTTTGAGTAAACAGTGACTTGTGTACCTTAATTGCATAAACTCATCTTAGAAAGCAGATAATTTATGCATCTAATGTTTTCAGCCAGAGATGGGGGTGGGATTTATTGGGGAGACTGGAATATACATCTTTTTCATAGAACTGATTTAGAATATCTAAGTGAAGTTTAATGTTCACTTTCCTTAGCACAGTCGCCACCCTCTTCCAGCTGAAGAAATCAATCAGATCTGGGAGGACTGTAAAGACATGGGGGTTCTGATCGGCAGAGGAGGACTCTACAGTCAGGTACTGAGCCTCTTATAAAGCATAAAGCTCATTTTCTGTCCTTGTGAACTACATCCTGTTTCCCTCAAGCTAAATTAACTTTCGTTTAGTAAATAAACTAGAAAACCTATACTCTTAGGAACTAGCTCTGTTTAATTTTGCATAATTTACAAATTGGGCAGGAGCTGTTTGTTTCTTTTCAAGTATGCTGAACTAGCTCTAAGCTTGCAGTTTTCCTTTAGAGGGACAACCTTCCCTAGAAAAGCAATGTACTATAATGCGTGTAAATTAGAAGAAATCAGCAATATTCAGGTCTGCTAAGTCTTTGCTGCTGTTCATCACCTGACCCGTTGGCTTAGAACAAGTTTGGTTTTGCTAGTTCTTTCATTCTGGAGAGCTGGTAGCATTCCACCTGGATAGTAATTAAAAAAAAAAAAAAAGTCGTTAATAGCAAGTTCAGCAACGCAGCACAGAAGTCAGAATTGCATGTGAATGGGCATTGGCCCACACCAATTGGAGATGCAGCGTGCTGTACCCAGGGCACTGTGTCACCGGCTTCTCACAGCGTGCGAGTTAATAGCAGAGAGTTGCCGCGGGGCTCGTCAGGTCAGTGAAGCCCTCTGACATAGCTGAAGCAGCTTCTCTATGAGATAGATGAAGGTGGCTAAAATGAATAGGACACGGCGTCTGTCACCTCATTGGTTCTTCCACAAGTCACAGACTACTAGGCTGCAGCTCAGAGTGCAGCAGAATCTGATTCCGTCTCACAAGAGTGCTGTTTATCTGTGCGTTCATCTGTTTTATCACTTGGGTGCTGTGGGTGGGAACAACCATTATTCCACTCTTGCTGCATCCACTCTGATGCATCATACGATGACAGAAAACTTTAAACTAAAAGTTTAAGATTCTTATGGAAGTTAAATACTCTTGGAAACATTACAGTATAGATCAAACATTTGGATTTAAGAACCTAGGTTCTTGACAAGTTAAACTCTGCATATATCCCTTCCCAATCAACATGCATTCAAGCTATAGTACCCTAATTGAAAGTTAGCATTTAGTGATTTTTTGATAATGCATTCTCTTAGAAGCCTTCAAAAAAGCCTATAACATAACAGCAAATCAGCTGACACAATGCAAGAGGCTGCCACTTCCAATAGATATTACTTTTCCCTGTAGCAAAGCTGCCAGAAAGGAAAATACACCTACGTGTCTGTGCTTTCTTAGTACAAACCCATCTAAGCTTTTATACTCGCTCTGTCTGGAATAACAGAGCTGCAAACATGATCTACTCTAGTCAGGTCTCTTTTGGAGGCAGTTGCTTTGTCACAAGAGTGGAGTGGGGAGTTGGATGCAGTCAAGTCCAAAATTGCCCACTTCAGAGTTCGCATATCAGAAGCCTCAGTCCCTGCTCCGCTGTTCTCCTATAATATTATTTTTCACACTTTTGGTTAGATGTTTTTGGGCAGAAGGTGAGTGCTGACATAGATGGGCTGCTAGAAACTGTATTCTTTCCATACAATTTCAAGGATTTCTTTTTTCTTTTTTTTTTTTCTCTCAGACATTTAGAATTAAACCTCCTATGTGCATTACTAAAAAGGATGCAGACTTTGCCGTGGAAGTATTTCATTCTGCTTTACAGAGACACATGGAAAGAGCAGCTGCAAAATAGACTTGATTTGTTTCCTTACCTGAGACACACAGAAGCCCTGACACTTGCCACCCAGACTCTGCACTAATCTATGCTGGGTAAGAAAAATCAGTCTGAAGATCAAATACTTGTTCAGTATCATAAAAGCAGTCTGACAGATCCAGTTTAATAAAGAATACACTCTAATCTGTAGACATACAGCTCAGTTCTACAGTGGTGTCGTGTATTAGCTGCACGCTTATTCTAGCATTAGCATGAAAAACCCTGGTTGGATAAACTGAGTATCAGATGAAGAGGCAGACACACATTCATCATTCATCTATAAATGTCATAACAAAATTGGTAATTTTTAGAAAGAGTGACAGCAAATTAATAAAGTTGTTTTGGGGAAGTACATGCTGTTTGGACTTCGTAGCATCTGTAGTCCCCTGGGGGGTGGTACCAGTGCTGCCGTGGAGTGCCTCCTGCTGCTCTCGCCGTGTGCCTTTGTACCACAGCATTTACTGTTGCGTCTTATAAAATACGTTTTCACAGAAGTGCGGCTCACTCCCGAACGGCTGAGCGTTGGTGTGCAGCGGGTCTGCCCTGGAGCTGGCTGGGACCAGTGCAGGGTGGTCCCCAGCAGCCTTCCACAGCAGTCACCGCTGCTGCCCCCATCCTGCCACCAAAACCTCGCCATTTATACCCAATACAGACAGGCACTTGTAAAACACACAAATGATAAAATTATTTGGTTTTATTTAAATAAGAAAAAAAAATTAAGGCTAAAAGTAATACTGCAGGGTTAAGTCTGTGAGATTTCACTTACGTAAGCATGGTCAATCTCTGGCTGAGAACCACCCTCAGCAGAACATAACTGGAGCTTTCAAACAGTTACAACTATTTACCCTTACTATGAGGATACTCTGTAATTACAACATGAAAAAAAATCTGTGTGCTCATAGAAGCTGTAAAGTTTCTACAGTAATTATTTTTATCATGGCGTTCTAATCCAGTTGTCATCCTCTCCAAAATACGCTTTTCTTTTCCTCCTGCTGGTTGTGGGATTGCACAGCACACCTGTTAGTCATTTAGCAAAGATGCACACTCTGGCCAGTGAAGTAAGACACCATGTTTCTTTCTTACATAATCACTTTTTTTAATGTTTTAGTTAATCACCTCCTTCAGTTTCAAAAGAAAAAAAAAAAGGCATTGCGGACAGTCAGTAAGAACTCTGCATTTATCATTTTACTTTCACTCAAATTTTAACATTTTGAATAATTCTTTGACCCAATAAAGGTACTGTGTCAACTGGTGGGGGAAGGAGAGTATTCTGCCATTTTGTGTGATGAGTGGAAACTCTAGAGGAACTTAGTAAATGCAAGATCAACGCTTCTGGAAAATTATACTTTACAGGTTTCCTACACAACATACTACAGCCCTTGCTGAGCACTGCCTTCTCCAACTGCATTGACAATTCCTGTGTAAAATCCACTTCCACTCCAAAATCAGGTGTTTTGCTATCCCACCTGTTGCTTTAAGTGCTACTCAAGAGCAGGTAGATCATGCATTTAAACAGAGGTGCAATACCAATTCCCACATTGTTTTTCATTAGAAATCAGAAGAAATTAATTTATTTAGGTCCCTCATTTCTCCCTTCACTTATTCCAGCAAGGCTCTTCCACAAGACTTTTTTTCCCCCAACACCTGGCATGCAGGCAGATGTACAAAACCAATAGGAATTGTCAAAATTGATTAACCAGCTTTGTCATCTTACTCTTTCCATTCTGTCTGCTGTTTAATGTAATTAAGTAATTTGAAAGGGCCTTTGGGGATGGCAGAAAAGCCTGTGGTTTTTCCATGTCTTGGTGATGTTTCATCTTTGACAGATGATCAAAAAAGCACAGGCCCCTGTATTGGCTACACTCACCCTGAGCTAATCCCTCTCAAAAGAAAAGCTGCAACGCAAGTGTTAAAATAATTTATTATTTCCTCTGCTTGGATACTTTATCCATGCACGTTCCAACAGGAATGCAAGGTGAGTAGCTTTAAATTACTATTTCCCTAGCCCCACTGTGAAAGCTGCTGAGATGGTAGGTCAAATCCCGTCATTAAAGAAAGGCTGGCAAAACCAAAAGAAAGCACAGGCTCCTTCACAAGACAATATTCCTTTTGTTGCATCTTCCTTTTTTTCCAGAATTAGGACTTGTCTCCTCTGTTTAACTCCGAACACAGGTAGTGCGCACCTTTTGGGTTTGGGAGAGTTTTCACGTACGATTCTGAAGACTGTAACAAAGTTCTATCTGTTTTTACGTTTCTCTTTTTTGTTTCTGGTGTTTACAGCTCCGTTTACAGCTGGTGCTTGTGTTGCTTTTGCATGTCCTGTGGCTTTTAGGTGTTCAAACAGTTTATTTCGGGATGGAAACGCACAGTTGCAGGTTACACAGTGGATGGGAACTTCATTCTACAATGAGGGAAAAATCAAAATGCTTCACATTCGTATGGAACACGTAATAAATATAATACACTAATTTGTTGTACGCAGTTTCTCTTAGGCAATGAAATGTGAATAAGCTGTTTGTTTCTATCACAGGTATTCCATTACTGATAAACAATGAAATATCTATATAAAAACAAAAAAATCACAAATATGACTTCTTGACATTTTAAGGAGTACTAAGTAGAATCAGTAACAAGAATAGAAGCCTTGCAAATCTAATTCAAGATAAAGAATACATTTGATCTCACCTGACTAAAAAAGACTACACACTCACTGCTTTGGGCTCTGAGATTTAGTGAATTTAACACGTCTTAGGTGTGGTTATTACAAGATTTAGCTCTTTCTGGGAAGCATCAGTATTGGGAAAGATGCAAATTAATTTATTTGGTTTGAACTGCCTTGCGTACAGAGCTTTAGCTACTCTCTTAGAACTGAAATTTAGTCCTGCTCTTCTCTATGAGGACAAGAGCTGATGTTCCAGTCTCCTAGCTTCTAATAAAATCACAGGGATAGAAATACCTGCATTATTAAAAAATAAGCAAAAAAATGAAACAGAATTTGTGGACTGGAGATGTTGGTGATCAAACAACCAACCTTGCTTGTAATAACACGACCACTGGCTTTTAAACAGCATACGTAATTTGACATACCGTTGTTGGGTGCTCTGAAGATGCCTTAGCAGACTTTTTTGCATCCTTGGCTTTTTTCCCTTTAGGCTTGGTACTGCTGATAAGCAAAGAGAAAACAAGATCAGTGCAGAGGAACATTCAACACTTAAGAGCTTCTGATGGTTTTCAGTCATCAATGTCTCTGCTGCTTCTCCCTGTTCTCCTTTCACACAACACAATGCAAGTGCTTCCAGCAAAAAAAAAAATAAAGCTATTTGATTTATATGGTCAACTGTGGATCTCAAGATTCAGCAGATGATACATCTGCTACTGGTAAGTGACGTGGCAGGGATCTGCAGTCAAATGCCATTTCCAAAGTAGGTCCTAACACTCCTTGTTTAGCATCATATTTATTCAACTCTGATTTAGTGGAGTGGCGCCCAGTTCACACCAGTGAGTAAATCTAGGCTTGTTTGACAGTATCAAACGCGACACACAGTGACACAGTAACTGCAATATTGCAAATCGCCGCACCTTTTCGCTTCAGTTTTTGCTTCATCCACTTGGCCAACATCTTCTGTAGCGCTTGCGTCCTCTGACGCAGCATGTCCTTGGCCATCATTTACCAGCTCCTCTGCTGAGCTGCTGTCCTTGTCCACACAAGGCACCTCCTTTTGCTCAACTGTTTCTTCATCAGCACTTTTATCAAGAGAGTCCTCGTACGTCTGTCCAAACAGAAAAAATGCAAGTTAAGTACTTTAAGTTCATTAGTGATTATGTTTATAGCATTATACCTCGTTTACCTCAAACATGGGTGGGTGAGGAGAACACAGAGCCATGGACCCGCTTAATTTAACTGTGTGTTTTCAGTGAGATTGTAAGAGGTAAAACCTTAGTTCTCCTGTTTTGAAAGATGAGGCCACCAGTGATGAAGGGAAGAAACACCAATAAAACAGCCTCTGAAACTACGGAAGAGGAGAATGAAGGTAGCTTTTAATTACACACAGTGCTCATTCTGTTCGGGCTACCATTTCATCTCATAACATAGTGGCTTTGCTTATAACTTTGCAAAATGTTAATTATTTAGACTAAAGTTTTCTGTGCCAGACACCTGCGTTAGGACGCTTAAGCCAAAGTTACTGAGGTGACTGAAGCTAGACAGACACACTGTATTTTCCCTCCCTAACATTAGAAACACTGGCAGCCTTTTCCACATACCAGAAGACAGAGCAGACTCAGTACATGCAGTTTGGCAAAAGATCAACCCCTGAGCATGTCTGAAGCAAAACAGCTCAGCTCCCAAAAGCAGGATAATGAATTTGACCTGATTAATGCAACGCTATTAACCTCTGGTATCTTTTCCAGAGTCTCCACTACCTGAAAAAACTTGGCCAATCTCTCTACCTTCAGGAAAAGAACACAAACACCATAGTGATTCCCTGCACTCCATAAAGCTTGGTGGAGGATGGAGGTTACATTTCCAGAAGAATCTCCCTACACAAGATTCCACGATTTCACGCTATGCGAGAGTGGCTCCTGCTGTCCAGGCTCCAGAAGACCTCGTGAACAAACTGATGGACGAGAGACACAGTGCCTATATGCAACCTACACGGTGAGAACAAGACCTTCTGATCTCAAACTGAGGAGGCAAGAGTTGAACAGGAGCCTGATGGCCTGCACGGAAACAAGGTCAAGCCGATACTGACTTGGACTATGCAATACCAGCCAAAGAGAAGCGAGAAAAATTCAGTTGCTTGAAAGTCTCAGGGAAGTTTCTTGAAGATGAGAGATGGTGTGGGAGAGGGCAGAGAAGGTGAACACATAGTAGGAGGCTAGAGGGGTTAGGCTGGGGGAAGACATGACCATCTTGGGAATGGAGAGAGGAGGCAGGACCTGATACAGAGAGCTCACAGGGACAGGGCTAGGATTGAGGCAGAAAGTAAAGAGGTTAGACTTGAAAAGGACTGAGCTTGCGGAAGGCAGAAGAGTTTGCTCACTACAGCACTGCTGCCACTCAAGCCTGGAACAGCTTGCAGGTCTTGAATTTCACCCTGCTGCTGTCAGCACACATCTGTGCTACCATGCACAGGCTCAGATCGTGGAGTACAACAGCTTGGTGTTACTCGTGTTTGCAATTCAACTGGAAGGTGGAACGGATGTGTTCGTACCAACAACTACAGTGTCAGTAGGATGCCACTAATGGGTTACTTCCCCCCTCCACCAAATTAGAGATTAACAAACAATACATTACACCAACTCTAGCAACCAAAGCAGAAAACGACCACCAAACAATTGAGCTGCTAATGCACTAAGGCCATTGCTGGTCTTTCTGATCAATTCCTTGCATTCTCCCTATCTGCCTGTTTCCATCTGTTTTCCTTACACTTCAGACTGTAGCCTTTTTAGAGCCAGCACCACATTTATTAGGATCTGCACAAACAGAACAAAGTGAGATCTATGCAACTATTATCATAAAATATGATCATAATAAATGTAAAAAAAATTATTTTGCAGTCAGATAAGAATTAGAAGTATCCGAAAACAGTCTTCAAATTCTGTAGAACTTCAAGTTCTTTTGTATTTTTCAGGATAAAAAAAAGTTAAGTTAGGAGATAACAAAACTGGGTTGTAAAGTTCCCTGAATATCATTATATGGCTACATACCATCATTGTTTTCTGTTTCTTCCTCTGCTTCTTTGAGAGTCTGTAAAGATAAGAATTGAAAATTACCTCTTGTCAAGAAAAGAAAAAAAAAAAAAAAACCAAACTAGTACAATTTCTAAAAAGGTCCCAAGTTATATTTTTGCTATCCTCTTAACATGCTATTAGCGAGAGAGTAGCCACAAACAGAAAATTACTCATGCCTGAAATGAAAACAACAGTTCTCCTAAACTACTCATTGCATTTAGTAAAACATTTATTCTGCTCAGACTGAACTTGAAGATACTAGTGAGATAGTTGGTATGGTTTGGCTATTCAAAAAATGAAGCTGTACAACTTACTTCGTCAATTCTGATTTTCAGCACACTCATGCCAGCATCCAACTGACAAAAAGTACCAAAAAAGTACCACATCAATAAACACTGGCCCTCTGCAAGTTTCCGTTTGAAAAATAACAACCACTACTTTTCCTTAACATGTAACTTTAAGAAGCAGAGAAAATATGACACTATTATCCTACAACATTTGAATCCAGTGCTAATGCATGCATTTTACTTGAACTCTGATGCTAAGAAATATTTTAAATTGCACAGTACTGAGAGTTCCAACACAACTATAAATCATCAGAAGCTCCCTCTGAGGGCCTCCAAGACTTATTTAATCATTAGTCACAATAAAATTAAAGCCAATTTAAAGTACTTCTGCTTGGGAATGTCTTCTGTTTCTTCCTCCTCTTTGGTATGTATTCCATTTGCATCATCCAAGGACACAGGGAATTTCCCTTCTTCTTCTTCCAGTTGCTGTCGTAACAGCGCTACCATCTCTCGATGCTTCTTTGATTTTTCATGATTCTTCATGCTGTGAAGACCAGCAGATCGTTACTGCAGGTAGCTCTGTACAAACATTGTTATATTTACATCTAAATTAATAACAGGCCCATTATCCATCACTACTAAGTATGGAAAATTCTGCCCTGACGTCTCCACTGGAAAGACGACACTGACCATTATGTGAAATCAAAAAGCCTGCAAAATGCATTTTTAAAAAACTTAAGACCCAACGCCCCCACCCCCAAGTCCCCAACCACAAGCACTTACGCTTTCTCAGTTTTTAACAATTTGTCACAAGCAGGGCAGTACAGACCATCAACAAATTCAGCTTCTTCAGTCTCATCATTCAGTTTGTCTGAAGAGATCAGTGGGGATCAGAGAGACAAAGTCAGATGAGCAATTCTTGAGGAAGCTGCTCTTAAAGCCCCAGCAGATACAACACTGACATTCAGCTTCTTTAGTATTACTGACACACAGAGAGATCAAGACCGTCTCACCAAATCATACATTAGCATAAATTGACAGCTGTAGCTCGATGTCTTCTCATGTTCAATGGAAAACACCAGAGAGGGCCAGACTTGAGGCTGGCACACCTCGGCTGGAGGCAGGGAGTTCCACTACAGTCAGAACTGTGAATCTGGGGCTTTAAGTGCAGCAAGCCAATACTCAGGCTGACGACTCACTATAGATCACCCTCCCACACCCCATACCTTCGATGCCTTTTGTCTCCTGTTCTTCTAATGCATCTTCATCATCTGACCCATCTCCAAATTCTTTTTCGTATTGTGCTTCCATCTCTTGCAACTCTCTCTCCAGATCTGACATAGTTATCCAGCTCTGCTCTTTATACTGCTCAGCAAGCCTTTAAGTAGAATAACACAGTAACTTCTACATTGCAGCCATGAGACGGGAATTACAGAAACAGTATTATTTAAAAGATAACTTGTTCTTCTCTGGTATTTTAGGAGGAAAGTCCTGAACATACTACAATGGAGCAAACAATTGTCTGTAGGGCCTGGAAATCTGAGCAGTTAATTTGTGATGTCAATGGGCACATCTATGCTGAAACTAAAGAGGTATTAACGTAGGTGGGTCCTGCTTGAATTTCAGGCAGGAAATGCTGTACAGCATGGTCAATATCAAGCTGATGGCAGGAAAGTCAGCTCAGTCCTCAAAGCAGTACAGCTGTTTTACCTGCTGCAAGATCCAAACCCACAAACAGTACAGGACCACAAAAGCCACAAGCCCATTACTCCTTGACTCTGCGCTATGGGAGTGTACCAGCTCAGTTTTCCAAATTTAAGTGTGGTCAAAGTTATCAATCAGTGCACCACAGTACAGCTGAATTTTGCTCCAGCTGACTCCAGCACTCAGAATTATCAAACCATTTGTCATAACATCAAGCATAACTCTGCTTTGCTCTCCCTTTAGGGAAAAATATATATATATTCTAACTATTATTATACAATTTTAATCAATATGCAATTATTTTGCAAGTGCACTCTTATTAAGAATTTAAGCCCCTTCCTCCCATTTGCAAGCAAAAATCTCTCCTAGTTGGAAGAATAAATTGTGCTTACACTCTTCCTTCTACTTAATTTCGGGAAAAATAAAAGCATCAGAAAAATGCATGTAGTCCAATGAAAGGGTCCTTTCTGAAGAGCTGAAAGGAAAGGCAAAACTAAGTTCATTCGTCCCACTTTCTTTTTAGCAGGTACAGTTCCAAGGCAGATGAAGCTGATCTAAGTCCAGGTTGTCATAGTCCTGTTCTCCCTCATTCCAAAACACACATTCTATTTTCTTTAGAGGAACAATGATAACTAGTAAATCTTACTTCCCCGGCTAAGTAAAAGCACACTGGATTCTGTGCTACTACAGCCAGTTACCTGCAGCACACAGATGACTATTCCCTGGTCACCTTAGAGCTCTACATGTCAGTACAATGCAGAGACACTCAAGTTTTAAAAAGCTCAGACTTAAAACCAAAACTAATACAGAAAATTTTCAAGGATGTTTAAAAGAGCAAGTGGAGCTACTATTAGAATCTAACTCTATATTGTATCCTCATAGATAGTTTCTCCAAGTTTAAAAGAAAAGATTTGTTCCACATTTACATACTTGGCTTGTTTGAGCTTCTGCTGCCTCCGGAATTCCTCTGCTTTCCTAGTTTTTTCTGCATTTTGTTCTTCTACAAGTTTTCTGTGAGCCTGTACTCTTTTATCCCTTTTACGAATAAAGGCTACTAGCTGACGGACCAGTTCATTCCTCTCTTTCCTTGCTTTATCTCTTGTTTTCTTGTTCTCTTTTTCCATAGCTCGTTTCTCCCAGCGGTTTGAGGCTTGTCGTGTGTCATATTCTTCTTTCCAAGCAAAGTGTTTCTGAGTACAGAAACTCTGCCAATATGCATAGAAAGGGTGGACTACCTGTAAGAAAAAAAATATAAACAAGTCACTTGTTTGGGGGGGACAAAAACCATACCAAATAATTCAGGACTTGTTTTGTGTCTTCTGTACAGGCCACAGTTTTCCCTCAGAGTGTAAATAAATCACATGAAGGTTTAGAGAAACCTCTAATATCATCCGTAAAATGTCAAACCATGCCAAATCAATAAGCTTGTCTAAACTACTCCAAACTGCAACTTCTAAAAAATATCCCCTTGCAGGACTGGATCATGCTGACAATAGTGCCCAGCTACTTAGCTGTGCTGTACTTTTCCTGTCAAACTGAAAAGCACAATCAGAATCAGATACGCTGTCCGCAAGCAGGCACATGCACATATTACCTAAGAACCACCACACTAAATTACACCAAAGGTCAGCCATACATTTCCAACAGCAGCCAACAACCAGCACAAAAAGAGCAATAAAACACATGTACATAATGCTATTTCTTCCCTGTATATTCTCTCTGCTTCCAGAGCAGGACAGAAATTAATAGCCCTTGATGGATTTTTCTTTCATGAATTTGTTTAATATTTCTTTTATTAACCCATGTAAATTGTTGGCGTATACAACAGCACGGAGCCATGACTTACACAGTTTCACGAGGGGCTCTGTGAAGATGCACTTACTCTTGTTTTGCTAGCAAATTACATGACTGCAGGTTAAAATGATGCCCTCTAGCTCTCACTTTGAAAGAAACAGTAAATGATCTTTCCTTATTCTCCTTCCTTTTACTATTCATGAGTAAATGCTGGATTAATAAAATGGCATTTTTTTGTTTTGCTCTCTATTCCTCTCCAAATAGTTACAAACCTTCTGCATTTTGTATATTCAGGAAACGAGATATGCCTAAACTCCCTTCTGACATTACTTGACCCATTAAGCTGCCATTTTATGACTTACTCGTACATGCACTACCATTTATATTTTGGAATACCTCATAGAAGTACTTAACCTATATCTCTTCTTCTAGTATTTCCTTTTCTCCTCTTTCTGCCATGGGTATTCACATGGACTACAACTATCAACACCTCAACACTAATTTCGAATGGCCTGTCTACATGCAAAGGTTCACGGCTGTGGCCTCTGGCAGGTAAGTCACTACAGTTTTTCTCTGCTGTCACAATAACCAATAAATGTTCATATTTAATCCAAATACCTAAGTGAGATTAGACTCCCTATCTCAGACTTCTGCTTCAGAAGGGGCTATCTTCTGTGCAAAAGGATGCACGGCCATCAACTGATGACAGGGATCATCCTCCCCTTCACCAGCTGTACGAGCTAAGACTTTCCTCCTCCTCCTCAGCAGCTACGTGAAATACAAGCACATCTCTGGCATTCTCCAGAAGACTGTACAGCAGCTCTTGCTGAACTCTCAAGTGGATTTTGTTTTTCCTACTACTTATACTTGGAGCTGATCACTTTTGTTTCTGCATCTAATTGACCTACAAGTTTTCTCTTTCCATGAAGTCTTCCGAAGTCACAGACTTCAGAACATCTTCCCTGGCTGCCTGGCATTGATCGAGCTGCCTCTCAGGCTTCTTGTGAATTAACACAGCAGATTGAACCAGAAAGCATTCACATCACAGATTTTGAGGCCTCTGTTAGAGTTTTTGTAGCTCCTTTCTAAAACTCTTTTCCCACGATACTCCCACTGAGTAGAAAAGTGGGCACTGCAACGCTGGAATCCTCTGACAGCTTTCTCTGAATATAAGATAACAGGGACAATGACTTTCCCATTTAACTGAGGCTATTTCCCATAAAGTACCTCTATGGATCCCTTAAAAAAAAGGAAAAAAGAAAAAAAAGTTAAGTATTCTGCTTCCAGAACAGCATGAACAAGGCAGATGTCAAAGCATGCTGGTGCTAGAATTTCAGCCATTTTTGCAATTATTAATTGACAGCTTAAAAGCTATTTTGGGTCTATAATCATATCTATTCCATGGCCTCAAAACAAGCAGTTTCCAAAAGATGTTTCAAGATAACTCCATTAAAAGATGGATTTTAGCAGTTTCACAGACACTAAATATGCTCTCCCTGGGAAAGATTTCTATTTGTTAAGCCATCCTGTAATCTTACCTGACAAACATGCATTCTGACAATTCTTAGTTTGATTTGTAATTTAGTTTCCAACGCCAGCCAAGTTCTTTATCACTGAAGTTACTTATTTTTAAGGTATGTATCAATTTAAATTTCATAGATAATTAGTCATAGGGTACAATTCTACTAGAAGTGATGGGGAGAAGTAGCAGACTAGGAGCAACATTTGAGTACACTGATACTGTGCAGTTATTCACTGGGCAAAGTGCTATTACTTTACTATTTAATTTCAACACAGGAATACTGGTAACCTTAAAAAAAAAAATGTAAGCCTGACAGAATACAACAAACAGTTGGCAAACCAGACGACAAGAATTCAAGTGTCCCCCACACATTTTCTTTTCTTGCTTCCCAAAGGAAAGCACACAATATTTTGGAAATTAAATCTTAATACAAAATAATTGTAGATGACAACAGTATCATAGCGGGAGCTCACATTGCAGGTCAACCACCACATCTCCCATTTTCTAAAGGCTGTGTTATGCAGTAAGTGCTATGCAGTTTTTCTAAATGAGGCAAGACACTAAATGTTATTTTAAAAAAAAATTATCTCAATATCCTTTTCTGTAATGTAAGTTGCATTAAAACACTGGTAAACTATTCTCATCAGGAAGCAAAGAGAACATATGTTCTTTTGTTTTACAGGCCTTGCACTACACTGAAGTTTCATTGGCATAATAGATAGTTAGCCCTGTGATGTGTTTGACTGACAACTTACCCTAAAAGCCTGGCTAATAATATAGCCCAACAGGAAATACCAAATTTAATTCACCTAAATATTATGAATCAGAATGCAAGCACTTCCTTTATAGTAATGGTCTGTAGTAGTAGAAAAGACAGCAGATACATGGTTTTGTATTCACCTCAGAGATCAGCAGGAGCCTTTCCTTTGATTTCAGCATGGTACAAAGTAATGATTTAAACTGTGTTACTTTCGGTCCAGATTTACACTTGCTCTTACCGTATCGTAGTCGCTTTGGGAATATCCAAACATAGGGAACTCTTCAGTATCTTCCTGGGTCATATATTCCATCTCTTCTTTTGCAATCTTTTCGAAAACTTGTCGATAGACTGTAAAGAATCCCTGAAAAAACAAAAAATCTGACTCATTTTGCATGGCTCAATAACAGATGTACAAATGCTCAGCTACAGTAGTGTATTTTAGAGAAATATTACAATTCTGCAACAGCAACTCAAAATCAGGGAAAAGGCCTTCTAAGCACTTGTTCTAGATACTAAGACCTTTCTGCTTAACAAAGTTCCCTTTCTCTCGCATTTCCTTCATGTAGTCTCTGTCTCTCCCACACAACAAGCGCCTGTATTCAAATCTAAACTGAAAAATAAGTTTCAGCATGCTGGAGATGTTTAGTATCTTGTTACACAGGATCAAGTTCTGAGGAAGTTCCAAATATAAAATTCACTATTAAGTATCCTATCTCTTTTTAAATTAAGACGTTACTAACTCACTTTAGTACAGTAACACAAAGACAGATAAGGATTTTCTCTGGCAGAGGTTTTTCTAATCACCTGGAGCTTTTTAAGTTCTGATGAGTATCTTAAAATACAACAGGGAATTCATTTTATGAAGCACACTTTCCCCAAGGACTGCTGTTATATTGCTATTTTTAGCTTGAAGCATTCTCGCTTGTTAAAGCTATTTCTGAATAAACAGATGGTATTGCAAAGCATTGGAATGCTTCACTATATAACGTAAATAAATAATATACACACACTCTGTAGTTGTATGGTATAGCTGGAAATCATGACTAAGTAATCGTTGGACAATAAGCAAGAATTAAAGCTTCCCTAAGCGTCCAGCATAAGTTTTGTCTTAGAAAGATTTGTGTAAGCATTATTACTACCTGTGCACAGCAATTCCACACATATCTTCTCAAGATGAAGCAAATGCCAACACTTTTCATGAAATTTAAATGGATTCATTAAAGATTAACTAATTCATTACCTTTTCATCATCTCCATATCCAGAGTAACAGCTAACAGTGAAGTAGTGCAGCAGATCTAAACTATCATCTTGATAGTTGCCATCAACTCTTCCTTTCAGCAGAGCTTCCCTGTGAGTATCATACCTAGCAAAAATTCACAGTGTCAAGGATGCAGAGACACAGAACACTCCCTGGTGCAAGTAAGCTAACACAGTACACCTATCGCCTCAATATATATCGCCCAGCACCTGGAATTTGTGTCTCATATCCAAAGTCTTCAGAGAGAAAAAAAAAGACAGGGTCAGTAAGTATTCTCTCTTGACCTTTAGTTTACTTACTATTACTTTATCTGCAGTATCTATAAGCAGCAATTTCTTAAGGGGCAGCTAGCAGACACATTTGAGCAAGATGCTTCAATAAGCTTTCAGAAATGGGTAGGACATTATTTAAATCATCCAGTACGTACACACACACACAAAACCCCAAATCATACATTAGCACATAAAAATTGAAAAATGGTACTTTCCTTTCAAGAAGGACAAACTTAAGTACAGGTGGTTTTGGCTGCATAATCTGGTAGATGCCTCAGCCCGTTTGCAAAACAAGTTACACACAACATTTAAAGTAGCAATCTCTTAAAAAGAGATGTGTGTGCGTATTCAAATGAGGACTGTTACACGATGCTACGTATGTCATTAAGGCTCACCATCTGCAGCAATCAATAGCTTACCAGACACCTGCATGCACTCAGTCTGGTGCTGGCTCTTCCCCCCTAAGGCAGGGAGGACCGTGACCCGAGCGGTGCCTGCGCTGAGGTGTGAGCTGCCTCCTGCTCTGGGAGGGAGGAAGAGAGGCCAGCAGTGCTGCGTCCCCAGAGCCCCCTCTGCGCCCAGAAGGCGTGGGTGCGCAGCCGTGCCTCACTGCATGGCGCTCAGCCCTTCCACAGCCTGAAGCAAAGGGGACGCTCCTGCCACAGAGGCCCGCGCTGACTTGCGGCAAGGCCCAGCGAGAAGCAAATTCAAAGTCCTGGCTGAGACGGAATTAGAAGAAGTCATGTCCAGGCCGCTACCAGATAAACGCTGCTCACCAGGCTCTTTCCTGGGGGTCACTGAGAACGTCATACGCTGCCTGGATTAACTTGAACTGCTCTGCTGCTTCCTCCGCGTTCTCTAGGTTTTTATCTGCAAGACAATTTAATGAAATTTTCAACGATTCCACGCACGACGGCAGCGG